GATTATGTTACACTAATTGTGTCAATGGTTGCATTTAAACACAGGAACCGAAGCTGGTTTTAATTTCCTGTGCGCATTTTCACATGACCCACTGGGAAGGTTAATAGTTCTTTTTATTGCCTCTTTCCAGCATTGTCTAAAATGGTAAAAGATGCTTCAGTTCTTCAGCTCTGAGAGAAGGGCAGGGATTAATGTAGTGCTGAACTCAGTAGGAACAAGATGAAAAGAGGATTTTTTGGTCAAAACAAAAAAAGGGAGGGGAAGTTAATACAGAATAAACAATATGGACAATTGGGGAGACTAAAAAAACTCCTGTGGAGGATAATTGGGGGAAATTAGCTAATGGCACACACACCACTGGAGCTGGGTGATGACAGGGAGCCAAGTGTGAGCTTTGAGGGCTCGTCTGGCTCACGGGGGATGGAGCAGCAGGAGCCATTGCTCTCCAGCAGCATAAGGAAAGCTGTGAGGCACCATCAAAGGCCAGATCCAGCGCTCACAGCTGGTTGGAGCTCCAGTTGTTGGGCTGTTCAGTTCTCAGCTTCCTCAAACAACCACTGGTAGTGAGTATGGGCACAGGAGCTAGCTGAGGGACTAGGGAGTGTGGAGGCTTCCGACGCTTCTGGTTGTCTTGTTGGCGTGGACATCCCACACGGGACATCCCAAATTAGCAAACTGGGTCAGATGGGCTCCATCGACGGGGTCACTCCCAGCTGCTCCCTAACTACACTCAGAGTTCTTCTAATCATGAGACAGCTTTCTAGGGTGGAAAAAACCCTGAATATATCTGACCATGGAGTCTAGGACGGCTCAAACCAGCTGAATTAGTGAAGTTGAGGTGGACATTTCTAGATTGACGTAAAATGCATTTAGATTTACAGGGATTTTTCCACTGATTTCAGCAGCAGTTGGCTTGGTTCTTAAATTGCTTCTGTTAATTAGTTACTACCCACATCCTACATTAGTCGTGTCAAGCTTTATTATTGTCCGTAATAGCACAATTATTCTAGCAGAGGCCCAAACATTAGGACATTTTCCTTTTTACCATGAAAAGTTCCTTGAAAGTGGTTGAACTCGAATCCTTTAAAACGTCCCTTGAGAAGGGTGTGATTTTCAGTGAGCTAAGTTGTTTGTCCAGTCGTGAATGTAAACCAGTTGAATGGCTTTGCACATGCTGTGTCTTGCACACCCGGAGCAAGACGGTACCGGCAGAAGGCTGGGCTGTGCGTGC